TCCTGCTAGCGAGCTGGTCATGAGGGCACAGGGCAACGTCTATCATCTTAAGGTGAGGGGGTTTTCCTACGTGGTTTTTTTGGTGGCTGATTAGTACCGCCGTGCTTCTCCCGTGTAGAATCTGCATCTGCTTATGAATGAAATGCAAAGCAGTAACTAGAAATATGAGTATATATTATAAAGCTTCCCTCAGCGTGTAGCTTTGTTCCCCTGTAATCGGTAAAACTATACTTGAGTTATGTACTGCCTAGTCCCAACAGGTAAGACTAATGCCATATTTGGAGATGCTAGAAACCCAGCAGCTCCATATCTCAACTGTACTTGCAGTCTCTGAAGTGTAATTTTCAAACCTGCAGCATACTTAATTTGTGCTGTAGTTTCACTTGCTGTCTCTTTCCTTTTTCAGTGTTTTACATGCTCTACCTGCCGGAATCGCCTGGTCCCCGGAGATCGGTTTCACTACATCAATGGCAGTTTATTTTGTGAACATGATAGACCTACAGCTCTCATCAATGGCCATTTGAATTCACTTCAGAGTAATCCACTACTGCCAGACCAGAAGGTGAATACTCAACAATTACTAATAAGCTTTATTAGAGCTAAATGAAGATCAATTTCTTTTCGTTCTGATAGTGGACACTCCCCACCCCTGCAAGGAGACCTTTAAGTAACTGAACTTACCTTACCTTAAGTAACTTAGGCGTGGGGTGTGGGGAGAAAATACTAACCTTTTAAATCTGACATATAGGGTGAGTCAGTTTATTTTGGTTTGGGCATGTGCATCTGTACAGCTGTTGAACTCCTTATGTACCAAGCGAAATGGAGAGCATACGTTAATACACACTCTTAACACAGAGAAGTATTTGATTTTATAATCTTGAAATTAAGGGCTACAAGAGAGCAGGTTTCTGTGGGAGGAAAATTAGATCCTTTAATATGGAAATAAATGTCTTGTGAAGAGAAGGTTCCTGAACTAAACCAATGTATTTCACTTCCATCTGAAGGTTTTGGTTGAGGAAGCATGCTGGGGTACTCTTTCAGAAGTATTTTCCTGTCTGTTTTGTATGTCATAACTCGGATTTAAAAACCAAAGTGCTATTTTCTTATCGCTCCATAACACTAATAGCTCAACTAGAGATTGTATATCTCTGCGGTTGATAGCCCTTGGTTTCTAGCTAAATGAGTAAATAATGACTGTACAAATCATATGGAGAAGAAGAAGAAAAAAAAATTCTGATCAACAGTTGTCCTGTAACTCTGAAACTAGATAGTTTTAGATCTATTTTAATCTCCTTAATAAGTCCTAAAGCTATGCAAGTGAGTGCATTTTGATAACTGCTGTGCCTAATTTGTAACAATTACTGTCAACCTTGAGTTAAGAGACTGTTCATTCCACCCTGGTCCAGAAAAGAGTGAATGTATGACTCTTGCACATAATTTTATTCACATCATATTTCATACTGATTATGTATTGATGACATTGATTCATTTACTCTTTACAGCGCCACTTGCATGGATATTAAATCTTATTGACCACAGATGAATTTTAATTTCAGATTGGTGATAGATTTTTCCATCAGCTCTGATAGTATATTTGACTTTTTCATCATTAACCCAGGCAATCACACAGCACTGAGTTATTGCAATGAAACAAAAAGTGCACACTTCAGTTGGTAATTCTTTATAGATTTACAATAGGAACTTCATTAATGTCTGTAAGGATCACAAAAAATAACATTTATCTGCAAACAGGAATTCGGAAGATTAAAAAAATCTGGGACAAATGCTAGGCTGATCTATTCTGTAATGTACAGAATATTTTTTAGTGCTTTTACTTAGCGGAGAAACATGTCCAGGAAAACACAAACTGTTTTTTAATTTTTTTTTTTGTTGTTGTGTTGCCACATTTCAATATCTGTGTTTGCTTTTTTTTCCCCCTGTGCATAAATTTACTGATTAATTTTAAGTATTCTTTCAAGTCTTATGCAGTGAATGTAATTACATCAAAATAAAACATGGACCTTTTTTATTTACTTAATTTGTCAATCGAGGTGATGAGAGAGTCGAGTACAAAAGTCCTATATAGTTAGGCAGAGCAAAGATAATTAAGATTGGAGAAGAATGTGCGGCCTCTGCTCAAGGAAGTACAAATACAGTTAAAGATTCATAGATTTATACTGTTGTGAATTTTAATGAAACAAATCTTTAATATAGACTAGCTAGCAGTGAATCTGTTAAATGAGTATTTGTAGGTATCCCATTTCAAAATATAGGTAAAACCATTCATCTTTATACACTGCAGTAAAAGGTTTACCATCCTGAGAGAGTGGTTTATCCACTTGTCTTCTACAAATGTAAAGTTTAATGTAACTTCAAATAGGTGCCTAAATTGTCATTTAGTTTTATCAGTTTCTTACTATGCCTTAGCAAAACATAAAAATGATTTAGTTGCAATAAAAGCGGTAGACATGATGAGGAACATAGAACATGGAAAAGAGAAGTAAAATTGGCCTGGGCTTGCAGAGCTCACGACCGTAGACACCTGGTAGAAGCTAAATGCAGAGCAACTAGTGAGAACAGGTTTTTATTAGTTCCTGTCACCGGCTATTAACTGCATTGCTACAGTCAGTAATGAGGCAGATGAAGAGGGACTGGGGAGAGGATTGGGGGGAGAGATTATAGTTCGGGGTTGTTTTTTTTTTTTCTTTATAATATAGTATCTCTAGAAAATGGGGTAAGTTCTCCTGCCAGTTTTCAAAGGGGAATTGCGGAGTACCCGAACCCCAGAAAACTGAAATAGAGTTGAGGAGATAAGTTGATAATTCATAGATTTGTCAGGTGTCTGGAGTTTTGGAAGCTACAGGGGCAGGTGCCGAGAGTCGTGTTTTGTATGTTGGCTTTTTAACAGTCTAAAGATGTTTACATCCGAGATGTTTTCCAGAAAGCTGAGTGTTTCAGGGCCGCTAATTAAAAACGTTCTTCCAGTATGACGGAGTTGGCTGTACCAGATACTTTTTATTAAACATTACGGATCAATCAGTCTCCAGGTTATTCTACCACTAGAGATTATAGACGTAGCAGACTATTCACAGGGGTTTTTATTAAACTGAAGAGATTGACACATATTCCCAGCATTAAAACACATTTTTGTTGCATACGTGAAGGTGACAGTTATGAACTCAGGATCGTCTCGATATAGTCTACAGGTTAATCCCTGTTGGTGATTGGCACGGGCAGAAAGGGTTGCATGACCTAACTTTGTTTAAAAACTTGCTTTTCTTTTTAAGGAGGCAAATGCAGTGATGTCGGCTATTCCTGCCTTTTGCCTCCCCGAGGCAGTTCACACGTGTAAATTATAACTTCCCATCACTCGCTGTGTAGTTTGAAAAAAACCCCTGTTTTCTCTAAACTCGGTACTGCTTGCCTGCAGAATGCAAACTCTTAGCTTGTGGTGTCCTGTGTGGCGTTTCATTTGAAGGGGCTGTATTGCCAATTCTTCTCTATGCTTTTTTGGTAGCGGTAGTATTGCGGTAGTATTCCTTGTTTGCAACGGTATTGCCACCTACTAAGAGTGTGAATTTTCCACCGGTTGGCAACGTTCGTAGCAAACGCTTGTCTTCAGCTTCTATACTTTTAAAGAAAGTATGAGTTAGATTACGTCTCTCAGAGAAGATCTTAAAAATCTTCCGGTTTACATATCACTCACCAGTTCCCTTGTAGTTACATAATTGGTGTTGTCTGTGTCCATAGTAGAAGATATTTGATGCTCATTTATTAAATATGCTTGCTGGCTGCTCCCTAATCTTTGTTCTGGACAGACAAATTACCTTTCTCACACTGAGCTTCAGCTCTGGGGAATTAAACCTCCAAGCCTCTACTACTTTAATTAGCTTGAAAGTGGGGGGTTGCAGTTACTAATAGACCTCAGGCTTTTAGTAACTTAGAGAAAGGGTGAAAAAAGAACTTCCTGGGAAGCGCAAAATGTCATTTAAAAACCATAAAAATCTAATATATATTATTTCATTTTGGTAATTGCAAACAGATTGTATTTGAAGACTATGGATGATCATTTCTATTCTATCCATGAAAGTTTAGATTTTTATTGAGTGAGACACTTTTAATTATCACAATTCATTAACACCAGTGTGAAAGCACATGTTTGACTTCATATATTAAAATGTTTATGTAACATTAACTAACACACCAGATGAGGAATTTTAAATGGGGGGGAAAAATCCTGAAATATCTATATTTAGCTCTTGTGCAATGCAGCATATTAACCAAAGTTGCCTTGGGAGGATATTGGCTGTACTTCTTATTTGCTTTACACGCTATTTCTTCCAATTATAAGATCATATTACTAGCTTCTTCAAAGGCATGGCATAATGTTTCTTCCCTTTTAAAAGGGGCCCAGAAAAACCACCTTATTCACTGTACGATTTGTTACCAGAAAGTACACTTATTTATTGTTGTCGTCTCTTTTTTTCTTTTTTTTTTTTTCCCCCTGTCTGCTCTTTTTAGTAGTGAAACTACGGAAAATGTTTGCTTTTTTGCTATTTGAAGTTGAAACGTTAGCAGTATGAATGGATAGTGTAGAAAGCCTTAATCAAGTCACAGTTGGAAAGTAATCTAATAAAAAAGAGATTAGTGAATAAGGAAAAGACAAAAGCCGTCATGTTGTAGTTTCCTCTCTCAAATTTAGTATGCTAGCTAAGATACCCATTTTTATTTCTTACAGGTCTGCTAAAAGGTCAGAGTAATGCAGAATGCGTGCCTTCATCTCAAATTTTGTTCATCACAGATGGATCCCATGTCTCCAAGTAGACAAGTCACCTTTGTAGCTAGCATCAATGCCAGCTCCATACCATTGCACCTTCTTTATTCTTGATTGCCCTTCCCACATTTATTGGTGTATTAAAATGACTGAATATGAACATTAAGGACTCCATGAACCTGGGCTAATGGGAGACTGTAGAGAAAATGAAAAAAGATCCACCGGAGGACATCTTGGGGGGGGCGGGTGGGGACGATGACTAATGAAGCTAATTAAAAGAAGCATTGAAATCTGCTTTCTACCCTCATTAACAATTAGCAGGGCACTGGCCAGTTTGTACCCTGTGTTTTACCTTAACAACATTCTATTTGCTCTTTGTATATTTAAGTGTTGTAAGGAAATGTGTTTCAATCAAACTGAACATGAGATAAAGATGTGGCTTTTGTGATATTCTATCACAAACACTTTTATTGTATCTCTGTAAAATACAATGTATGTATGCATGTAAGTGTTTTTGTCCTAATGTTGCTACTTCCCATGGCAAAAAAAAAAAAAGAAAAAAAAAAGAAAAAAAAAGTGAGGCTCATAGCAGCTACTGTGTAGAAATTTTCACCTACTTCTAATTTGCTGAATGAAGAAAAATCTTTTATTTGTGATATTTTCAGAGACATTTGCTCTAGTATGGTGTATTTAAATAATAAAAAAGTAAAACAAACAACACTGAATTGAGTATGGGTTTTAGAGGCTTTGCTTTTTTTTTTTTTTTTTTAAACCCCCCTACATTCAAAACACTACTCTGAAACTATGTCTTACATAGTCATTACCTTAATTGTCAATTACCTTTTAAAAGTAGCTTTTTGGTTTGGACATTTTTTTTGTCTTATGCCAGTAAAGAATCTGTTAAACTACTTCACCGTGTTACTTTTGGCAAGGATACAGAGCACTACTTCAAAATGATCTTTATTTTTCATTGAGATTCTTAACTCTGGTAGCAGCAAGTATATTATAATTCATATTGCAGTGATTTATGGTATGCATATAGGTATCGTGGTCTCTTCCTATCCAGTTCCTTTCTGCAGAATCATCTGTGTCAAGGGTGTGCATGTGTCCGTGAGTGTGCAAGCATGAGCGTGTATGTATATGCCGTAAGAGGTCAAAGAATAATAAAATAAAAACCGACAAAAGGTCTGTACCTCATGCTGAGCACTAGAATTGAGTATTCATAAAAAGGAATACAATAGCTATTCTGATCTGAACAACATAAAGTTGTGTTTGCTGTGGTAAGAGCAACTTTGCAACACTGATAATCTTAAGGAAAGAAAAACACATATCCCGGGCTATTTCCGAGAACTAACTGATCTCAAATATGATCTGTTCTCTGAAAGCAAACAAACAAAAAACCACCCCACCCCACCCCCCGCCAAAGCAACAAAGCCTCCTCTAAGCTTGGAAAGGGAGCGACTTCATTTAGTGGGCTTTTCCCATCAGCTGCTCGGTGGTGGAGCTGTGCAGAATAACGCTGAGAAACAATTCTGACTTTGCATGTTTGTAGCAAGGATACTAACGTGACTCTATGGCCGTGCATTTTATGCCTTCAGTCAGGAAACTGCAAGCACCTGGAATGTGCCTCTGCCGCAATTAAAAACAAATCAATATTAACGAGTACTCTACTTTTCTGGGAGACTAACACATTTGAAACACATCATGATTACGTTTTCTTTTTTAATTCTGGTTTTTGAGAAGGTGTTCACTGTTCAGCGTGCTTGGTTACGGAGTGAGCTTGACTTACGTTTGTTGTGATGCCGATGCACAAAAAGCTGATTTATAGATTTGTCTGTCTAAACACCCAACAGCAGATATTTTTTTTTTTTTTTTCAGATTCTACTTCTTGACCTCTAGTATATTGGAGGTCTGCTGAATTTCTTCTTTTAACACTTCAGTGCTTGAGGAAAAAATAGGACTGTTGCAGAGAAAATGTCATAATGTACAGTATAAGTAAAGACAAAAGAATACTTGCATAACATACAAAGCCATAAAATGACTGAAGCTATGTATGACTTTTTAATTAAATGCCCTTCCATATTTTTTTAAATAAGTTTCTAAGCTTTTTGATCTGGCATTAAAGTCTTTAGGTAGAGTCCTGCAAATTGTGCTGCGTCAATATCCTTGAAAAGACACTTGAAGTCATATGAATATAGAATTCAAGTATTAGTGAGACTGTAGACATCTTTTTATATTCTTTCAGTACAAGCACTCAAGGTACAGTGTTTAAATCTAACACGTACAGATTTTTGGTTGTCCAATATAACCTAGAAGTGCTAAGAAGATAGCTAATAACTTCCAGTACGTAATGTAGTATAGCATTTAGTGATGTAGAGGTTGAAGTTCATTAACAGCTTTAAATAAACTATTATATGACTGGTTTGTAAAGCGCAGCTACCTATTTAATAGCTTACTTTAAAAGCATTTCTTAAGTAAGTTGCAGACCTGTAAGATTACAAATGTCACTCATGTTAGCATAATCCACATGCAAGTGATGAAGCCTTTGCTTTGATGTGCTAAATTGGAGGAGGACTAATGGAGCTATGAATATACAATAGAACATATTTAAGTAGTATTCTTGCTTTAGGTGAAACACTTTCTTGAAACCAGAGGCATTTCAGACAATAAAACAGGCTCTAATGGGGACGGTAGGTGTGGATAGAAGGCTACTGGAAACACTTAGATTTGTCCTTATGTGAAAAATCACTTTTTTAGGAGCTCTGTAAGGAAAAACATGTACTTGTTCACCTTTTATCACATGCTTTTGCTACACTGAGGCTGAAATACACCCTCTGCATTTAGTGCCGCTGAAAAGTCATACAAATAATCATTCAGTAAGAGCTTCCCTCACTTTCAAAAATGAATGCTGTTAAAAAAAATCAAAGGAAATATTACTAATCTGAAATCATCCTCGTGAACCTGGATAAAATGCTCTGTCTATATTGCATCTAAACGTCTCAATCATATAAATTGTCACTCTTATTAATGAAACAATTTTGTAAAAAGATTGCCCTCTAAATGGGTTTAATGTTTTTACCTATCCAGCTGTCTAGTTATGAGATTTACGCATCCTGGCAGGCAGTGGGACATTAAGCCTTTCCAAACCAAATTCTGTTAGCAACAAGATACTGTCTTTTCAGACCTACATGATTTATCTTTAAATATTTTAACAGGTTATGCAGTATCTTATGAAATATAAAATGAGAATGTCTTACCAAAATGAAGCCTATGAAATTAAGTCACATCTTCAGAATATTAACCACACTGAGTTTCTCTCCCTTTTGCCCTGTTAGTTAACACCGATAAAATTGGCATCATCTAGTTTTAGGGTAAACACTAAAAAAAAACCCAACCAAACAAAAACCCACCACATGCCAGCATAGTATGACTTGCTATCAAGTACTGTCAGGGATTTCAGAGATCGTTTTGATTTAAATTTTTTATCAAATTCTTTGGCTGGGAGTTACATGTCAGGTGCGAGGCTTTTTGCAAGGATCTACGTTCTGAACAGCTCTATTAAAATAACAAATAAAATTGAGATCAGAACAGTTATGTATATATATTTTTTAAGTGTTACATTTCTTCAGTGTGAAACTATGTGTTCCAGGTCCGCTTTCACTGCCTGAGCCTCCTGTACGTGAAGTACCAGATAACCATTGCTGCTGCTTGTTACTTTTAGTACCAGGTGTATGCCTATTGTCAGTCCAGCTAAGCCACAGAAGAGCTTATTGCAATTAAATAGCAATTTGTTTCTATGAAACTGCAATTAAAGTATTACTGATCAGCCATTTTAGATTGGCAGTGCTTTGACTGCATGTTAAACAGCGAGGAGCTCTCGATTTATTTCTGCAGCGTCTGAGCTGCGAGTAACAGTGAAGTGTAACATGCTCACCTATGTCCCTTGTCAAGTTGAAAGTATGAGTCCTCCGTGAAGCACTCTGATCTCATCACGAACATGCTGAGAGCAATGACAAGTCAGGGCTGATCTCTGTAAGTTGAACTTGCAACTTACAGGACCTGAAGTTATTACTGTTTTCTGTTCCTGTATAAGCAGGGATGTGTACGCTTCCTACAGGGGATGTTTTCAACTTCAGATTGATTCTGTTGAGAATGGACTGCAAGTTGTGGGCCGCAAGCCAATAACGTACTGCAGGTCCTGACTTGTTAGAGCTGTGTAAACAGGGCTACTATATCTCCTTAATCACAACTAATAAAAGACTAGAAGAAAGCAATCAATTACCTTATAAGTTGGGTTTGGTTTTTTTTTTTTTTAATAAAAAGCAGAAGTTTATCTGACATGGCTATTATTTTCACACTTGTACAACAGACGAGACAGTTTAAAGCAATCCGATCAGCTTACCTGCGCACACCCGGGGTTTGCTGGTGACTGTTCGCCTGTGACATTCCCGGGAAGCCACAGCGCTCCTGCCCCTGAGGCTGGCAGAAGCCGCCAGCCACCACCGCCTTGGGTCCCCTGCCAAGCTTGTAGCCGTTTGTGGTTGACCTGAAATCTGAAATGTAAATTTTTGGTGCAAATTAAAAACTTGTTTGTCAGAACTCAAAGAGGAATTAACTTTGTAGTGGTAATTATATTTCTTAATTATCACCATATTTTAACAAAGTCTGAGACATGTTAACTTTAGTTCCTGCATTTTTGCACAGTGGAGGCTGTAGACATCCTCGTTCCTTTGCCAGAGGGGATGACATCACACCTGTGGCATGCATGAGATAAGCGTTGCTTCATTTAGAAACAGGTTCCTGTCTTTCAGAGATGTTCCTTGGGCGGTGAAATGGCTTGGGTCCTAGTCCTGAAGTGTGACCCATCGGGGTGGATGAGTGCCGCCGAGCACACCGCTGTGTCAGGTGGTAAACGGGCCACACGTGTGCCGGCTGAGCGGCGGTACGCGCCCAGCGTGTGCAGGCTCTTAGCCCCTGGCAAATGGCAGGTAAAACGCCTGTGCTTAAACCTCAGTGAAAACGGCCTAGCTGACAGCCAGTAATTCACTCACCCGCAGTCGATTGGTCATATGTCTGAGCCCAAGGCCTGAAAAAAGTCCTGTTTACTGGAGACAGACGCGACTGTGTTGAGGATTTTTTTTTTTTTCCCCGTCCTCTGTGGGTATTTTTTAACAAGTCGGGTTCTGTTGTTGTGTTTCTTTTAACAGTAGTTCTAGCATTAAGTTCACAGAAACGTATTTGGCGTGCAGGAGGCTAGGCAGTTCAAGAGGGAGGCGACAGGAGCCCAGACGGTAGCTGGGGATGTAAGCCTCAGTCCTGCCTGGTGGCTCATGTTGCTTTTTTGCCCCTGCTCGCCTCTAGCTTGTCCATTGAAAGGCAAGCAAGGGCCTGGCACCAGAAGGGCTGGAAGTTTTTTTAATGAAGCTTCTCAGTGCTACTGTGTTAAAAGTAATAAATTGCAGCATTTTAGTGACTGGAAAGGCATGCGCAGGCCATACCGTGATATGCTTAGCCAGGTCAGAAAAGATGTAAAGGCCAGTGACTTAACCAAGAGCTGTCCCTGTAACAGGGTGATGCTTGAGGAACGCTATGTAGGGGCTCAAGCCACCGAAGACCCAGTCCTGAAAAGGGCCTAGGCTGTCAAACAGCAAAGCACACACTGTCAGGAAGGCTGGAAATTTTAATAGGTGCTGAGTAACTTTCAAAAAATTTGAG